ACTGTAGCACGCCGCCAGTGAGCCTCGAACCCGCTCCGGTGGCGACGGAGACACTGTAGCACGCCGCCAGTGAGCCTCGAACCCGCTCCGGTGGCGACGGAGACACTGTAGCACGCCGCCAGTGAGCCTCGAACCGCTCGTCCGGTGGGACGGAGACACTGTAGCACGCCGCCAGTGAGCCTCGAACCCGCTCCGGTGGCGACGGAGACACTGTAGCACGCCGCCAGTGAGCCTCGAACCCGCTCCGGTGGCGACGGAGACACTGTAGCACGCCGCCAGTGAGCCTCGAACCCGCTCCGGTGGCGACGGAGACACTTAGCACGCCGCCAGTGAGCCTCGAACCCGCTCCGGTGGCGACGGAGACACTGTAGCACGCCGCCAGTGAGCCTCGAACCCGCTCCGGTGGCGACGGAGACACTGTAGCACGCCGCCAGTGAGCCTCGAACCCGCTCCGGTGGCGACGGAGACACTGTAGCACGCCGCCAGTGAGCCTCGAATCCGCTCCGGTGGCGACGGAGACACTGTAGCACGCCGCCAGTGAGCCTCGAACCCGCTCCGGTGGCGACGGAGACACTGTAGCACGCCGCCAGTGAGCCTCGAACCCGCTCCGGTGGCGACGGAGACACGTAGCACGCCGCAGTGAGCCTCGAACCGCTCCGATGGCGACGGAGACACTGTAGCACGCCGCCAGTGAGCCTCGAACCCGCTCCGGTGGCGACGGAGACACTGTAGCACGCCGCCAGTGAGCCTCGAACCCGCTCCGGTGGCGACGGAGACACTGTAGCACGCCGCCAGTGAGCCTCGAACCCGCTCCGGTGGCGACGGAGACACTGTAGCACGCCGCCAGTGGCCTCGAACCCGCTCTGGTGGCGACGGAGGACACTGTAGCACGCCGCCAGTGAGCCTCGAACCCGCTCCGGGTGGCGACGGAGACACTGTAGCACGCCGCCAGTGAGCCTCGAACCCGCTCCGGTGGCGACGGAGAGACACTGTAGCACGCCGCCAGTGAGCCTCGAATCCGCTCCGGTGGCGACGGAGACACTGTAGCACGCCGCCAGTGAGCCTCGAACCCGCTCCGGTGGCGACGGAGACACTGTAGCACGCCGCCAGTGAGCCTCGAACCCGCTCCGGTGGCGACGGAGACACTGTAGCACGCCGCCAGTGAGCCTCGAACCCGCTCCGATGGCGGCGGAGACACTGTAGCACGCCGCCAGTGAGCCTCGAACCCGCTCCGGTGGCGACGGAGACACTGTAGCGCGCCGCCAGTGAGCCTCGAACCCGCTCCGGTGGCGACGGAGACACTGTAGCACGCCGCCAGTGAGCCTCGAACCCGCTCCGGTGGCGACGGAGACACTGTAGCACGCCGCCAGTGAGCCTCGAACCCGCTCCGGTGGCGACGGAGACACTGTAGCACGCCGCCAGTAAGCCTCGAACCCGCTCCGGTGGCGACGGAGACACTGTAGCACGCCGCCAGTGAGCCTCGATCCCGCTCCGGTGGCGACGGAGACACTGTAGCACGCCGGCAGTGAGCCTCGAACCCGCTCCGGTGGCGACGGAGACACTGTAGCACGCCGGCAGTGAGCCTCGAACCCGCTCCGGTGGCGACGGAGACACTGTAGCACGCCGCCAGTGAGCCTCGATCCCGCTCCGGTGGCGACGGAGACACTGTAGCACGCCGGCAGTGAGCCTCGAACCCGCTCCGGTGGCGACGGAGACACTGTAGCACGCCGGCAGTGAGCCTCGAACCCGCTCCGGTGGCGACGGAGACACTGTAGCACGCCGGCAGTGAGCCTCGAACCCGCTCCGGTGGCGACGGAGACACTGTAGCACGCCGGCAGTGAGCCCCGATCCCGCTCCGATGGCGGCGGAGACGCTGTGGGACGCCGGCAGTGAGCCTCGATCCCGCTCCGATGGCGGCGGAGACGCTGTAGCACGCCGGCAGTGAGCCCCGATCCCGCTCCGATGGCGGCGGAGACGCTGTAGCACGCCGGCAGTGAGCCTTGAACCCGCTCCGATGGCGGCGGAGACGCTGTAGCACGCCGGCAGTGAGCCTTGAACCCGCTCCGGTGGCGACGGAGACGCTGTAGCACGCCGGCAGTGAGCCTTGAACCCTCTCCGATGGTGGCGGAGACGCTGTAGCACGCCGGCAGTGAGCCTTGAACCCGCTCCGGTGGCGACGGAGACGCTGTAGCACGCCGGCAGTGAGCCCCAAACCTGCTCCGATGGCGTTGTGAGTCCGGCGCCCCCCCCCCCCCCCCCCCGCTTACCCACCCCGCCACCGAAATCATCCGACAGTATTGTATTGGCACCCTATCTCTGTACACAGATAATGCTGATGAGACTGAGTACAGGGTCATGCGTACAAGTGGCGATTCAGAGTGTTTGCACAGATGTCACGTATTTTCTCCTCAAGCGCGTACACAACAATACCTCAGTCTGCGACCGCTGCTTGTGACCAGCTACTGTCGTGCGGGGTCTGGCTGTCTGCCGGCCGCTCCCTGAATGCCGGACTCTCCCGACGGACGGGTTCTGGGAGGTGTTTAGACAGCGTCCGGCCCGGGCGGCGGTGTTTACACTGGAGCTCGTGCCGTTCGGGCCCGCACAGCATCGGCCCTACACGACCGCTGCCGCTTCCTGGACTCCGCGAGGTGCGTCACAGAGCAGCGAGGTTCAGACGGATGACGGACCGCCCCACCGGTATCGGGGCAATGCGCGTAGTTGGTAATCGCTTATTTGGAGGCAGCGGCGTGATGTGCGGTTGGAAATAGCGCATGCGCGTACTCACATGGCGGCAGATTTCCCTAAAATTGTAGTCACCAGTTGACCACAACCATTCCGAAGCCGCGGGAGTAAAAGCCATTCACTCAGACTACTCCTGGCCTTCAAATATGTAACGGTGCCGTCGAAGATAACGGCAGATGCCGAGTAACCGCCGCCGTCCGCAGATTACTATATTTGCACAATACCATCGAACTCATTCCGACGTCCTCTTGGGCTGTAAACGCTGCGCCATCGCGCGCCGCGACGCGGCACCGCTCCGGTGGCCCCCAGCACATGTCCTTGGCGTACACCTGTGTGCGGCGTGGCTGGCCGCAGACAGCGTACCGCCGGCGGTCGCTCTGTCGGCCCGATCGGTCTCAGCCGCAATCACTCCCCTCGCCCGCAAGCCAGACACGGAGTGGGACAGGGAGCACGCAGGTGGCGATCAGGTGGCGGCCTTCGCCCGCAAGCCAGACACGGAGTGGGACAGGGAGCACGCAGGTGGCGATCAGGTGGCGGCATGTGACAATTGCGCTAAGCGGCGTATCTGTTGTCGGCCCATGTGATCTGCGGCCGGACGTGCACTACGCACGTCCGGCCGGCGGCTCGCCGAATCATCGGCACCCCGCACTTTCGGCAGACCCGAACAGCCATGTTGCTTCACACCAGGCAGGGATTTTCTCGATTTTCTCGATTTTCTCGATCAGTCCGCTCCGTATGGTCGTCCTGCGCGGTCCTTGTTCGCCAGCGTGTTGGCCGTTGCTGCAGCTGGAACTGGCTCGCTGTCACTGTGTGTCGCATGCCGGCGAGCCTGTGATGCCGACCGTGCCCTTGTCTGCCCGGCCCGCTCCTCGCCGCTCACCCCGCTCATTGTGTGGAGATCGACAAGAGATGCCGTGGAGATCGGGGTGTCGTCGCCAAAGCCCCAGAGAACGAAATAAGCGGGAGATTCGATGTAGACGTGAAAGGGAGGCATGGCTCACAAAAAGATTCTAAGACTGGGCACCTAAATCATCCGCAAAATGTGCCATTTTGCTCCCCAAAGATTTTGACTGACTGGTTGTACGTGCCTCGCGCGGCGTCCTGCATCGGCCCGCTCCCGCGCGCCGTCCTGTGTCGGGCCGCTCCCGCACGCGTTCTGCACCGGGCCGCTCCTGCGCGCCGTCCTGCATCGGGCCGCTCCCGCCCGGCGTTCTGCATCGGGCCGCTCCCCACACGGCGTTCTGCATCGGGCCGTTCCTGCGCGCCGTCCTGCATCGGGCCGCTCCCCACGCGGCCCCCTCGATCGCTCGACGCCGGTACGTGGACCGCTGACCTCGTCCTGGCCATTGATCGGCGCACGTCCTGTCGTCCGGGGTGACTCGGCGCCCCCGGACATGGCGCACCTGCTGAATCATCGACGCAGCACCGCCAACGTGGCGATAGGCTGACGCTAGTGGCCGCTCGCCGCTTGTGTGCCGACCCGGGGTGCGCGGCTCCGGCGCTGCGCCGGCGCACCCGGGCACGCGCAGCGCGGCGAGACGATCCGCTTTATTTGCTGGCTACATCATGTTAATTTGTGCACTTGTCGAGGTTTGGGGTCGAGTCATTCGGTCGTCACAGGTGGTCGCGAGTCTGTCCTTTTCCGCCACGGCTGATTGTGTTGAGCCTGAATGTATAACACTTGCGGAGGGGGAGAATCGGTGCATACAACTATTGTCGCGTGCATGAAGTCATGCTGGAAGCATACGTAGATGCATACAGAGCTCTGGAAATAACAAAGCAAGAACACACAAGGCTTAATTTCAAATGCTGGGAAATTGTGCACGTTTTCTTACGATCCCCACTTCCGTCTTGGGCGATGATTTGAGCAAGAATGCCATAATTGGATTTGCGAGCCATGCTTTCATTCACAGCGTTGGCTCTCATGCCATAGCTCGTAACAGTGAGCGTCACTCCGACGTCACGTTTTGCGCCATCCGGTATCATCGGGCATTGTCCGTCGCTGTCACATCGGCACGGCCGCCTTCCGAATTCTGCCCCGCTGGCCAAGCCATCCTGCCAGCTAGCTGTTTCGCGGCCTGAGCGCGGCATCTATTTCAGATGAAGATATCCTGTCCCAGTGGCGTTACGTGTCGCGCCGTGCCCTGCTCGGTTGTGGCCGTCGGCTCCGGCTCCCTGTCTCGGTGTGAGTCTCTGATCAGCGTGTGTGTGTGTGTGTGTGTGTCCACGCCTCTGACGGTGGCCGGCTTTTGCTTCAGGTGTGGGTGAGCGGACGGCGGTGCCGGCCGCCGCCCGGCCCGTCACCACCTCGGCGCCCACCGTCACCGTGCTGCGCCAGGCCCGGCCCGGCCAGTCCATCCTCATCCCAGTCAACATCAAGGGCTCCGGCAACATCAAGACGGTCAAGATCCTCAGCGCACCGGGTAACCTCAAGGTAGGAGGCCGGCTGACCGGCGGGGCGGGACGGTCCCCGGCTGCCAGTGGCACCAGTCCAGTGCGGCGTCTTCAGAGCACATGACGTGCAGTTCTTTTGAGATTGACCTGCCGTGTGGTTTGGACTAAGCAGGCGCGCTTACAAATGCCATTTGTCTTCTCTTTGGTCCTGTCTCTGTACTTGCGTTTTGAACTGCGCCATTTAGTCAGGATCTGCCATGTGGCTGGACGGGTGGGGTGCGATGAGGCACGAAGCGTCGTTCACCCGTCCGGCGTACCTCAGTGCGACACCTACCGCCTGGTCGTGCCGCGAGGCTTCCGCGCGTACGTGTCGCGAGTGCTCGACGGCGTGCGCCCTGTGCCGACAGTCGCCGACGATCGTGGGTGAGCTACGACCGACGGCGGTGCGGCACGGCGGCACCACGCGCATGGTGTACAGCATCGCCGGAGGCGAGCGGCTCCAGACCTCGGCCGGACCCGTCATCACCGTCTGCAGCAGCCGCGCCGGCGCCGACACGGCCGCCGCCGCCGCCGGCCTGCCCGACGGACAGAAGAAGAAGCTCGACCTCTCCCGTAGGTGGCGCTCGCGCCGCGGCGACCGCTGCTGGGTTTGGGTCTCGACGGCCGCTGTTCGGCTCGTGTCTCTCGACGGCCGCTGCTCAGCTCGGGTCTCACACGGCGGCCGTCGCTCGGCTCGGGTCTCGACGGCCGCTGCTCAGCTCGGGTCTCACGGCGACCGCTGCTCCGCTCGGGTCCCATGGCGACCGCTGCTGGGCTCGGGTCTCACGGCGGCCGTCGCTCGGCTCGGGTCTCTCGACGGCCGCTGCTCAGCTCGGGTCTCACACGGCGGCCGTCGCTCGGCTCAGGTCTCTCGACGGCCGCTGCTCAGCTCGGGTCTCTCGGTGACCGCTGCTCGACTCGAGTCTCACGGCGGCCGCAGCTCGGCTCGGGTCTCGGCGGTACGCTGTAGCGTGTTCCGTAGCTGCATTGTGTTCTTTCCACAGTGATGCAACTTGGCATTTGTGTAGCTTGGGATTGGCGCCCCTGAGGACGAAATGACATTCCATTTGGCATAGCCAGTTGGCTTGGCGCCCGTTTCCGCAGTGTGGCGGGGGCCGCGGGCGCGGTGCCAGCCTCCAGTGAGCGGCCGGTGCTGTCGGCTGGCCGGCGGGGCGCTCTGACGCCGCGTGTCCGTGCCCGCAGCCGAGGAGCGTCGCCTGCTGAAGAAGGAGGGCGTCCTGCTGCCCACCCACTACCCGCTGACGCGCGAGGAAGAGCGCGAGCTCAAGCGCATCCGCCGCAAGATCCGCAACAAGATGTCCGCCCAGGACAGCCGCAAGCGGAAAAAGGAGTACATCGACGGCCTGGAGGACAGGTGAGTGGTGCTGCGCATGGGACGCGGCCGGAGCTGACGGCCGCTGCCGGGTACCGGCTGCGGACGGTCATCGCCTTCGTGTACGGGCTGTGTTGCTTGGTCATGTAGAGGTTTTGGTAGGTCATGAGCTGGTGTTGGAGGAGGCGGGCCCTCGGAGTGAGATGTGTAGGCTGGACTGCGGTCGGCGTCAGGGGGCCGTGTTTTGTTTGCGGCCTGTCGGCCGGGTGTTCGCACGCCGCCCGTCCCCGTGCTGTCGGCCGGCCACTACGCGAAGTGTCCCGGCGTCCGCAGGGTGCGCATGTGCACGGCGGAAAACCAGGACCTGCACAAGCGTATCAAGCGGCTGGAGTCGCAGAACGGTCAGCTGTCCGCCCAGAACACCTCGCTGACCACGCACAACGAGACTCTGTCGTCACAACTGCGCCGGCTTCAGGTCCGTGCCGTGCCGGACCCGGAACCGGGCTGGCCGCCCTCCCCGGCCGCGCTCTGTCGTTCCGGGGGTGTATGGGACGGGGCTGAGCGCACGCTGCCGCCGCGCGACCACGCGGTGCCGACGCTCGGACGGTCCTGACCGACCGCGGCCACACACTCCCCGAATCCAGCATCGCTGCTCCCCGGATTGCGAGGTGTCGTCTGCGAGCTCTGGGCTCGGTCCACGGCCCGCGTGGCGCCACTTCAGGCGAGCCGTGCGGCCCCGCTCGACGGCCGCCCTCGACTGTACGGTGGCGCCACCTCAGGCTAGCTGCAGAACATGGTTGCAGTCATTGGGCGGTTGGGTCTTCTTGCGGTATCGGTGTGGTACGTGGCGGCGCTCGTCGAGGCGCGCAGCTCCTGACCGAGCGCCCGGTGCTGCTGTCTGTCGTGTCGCGAGGCGGCTGACGCGGCTGGGCCGGCCGCCTCCGGGGCTGTCCGCCGTGATGAGCGCGTCTCTTCTTCGCACTCACCCGGATTGGGAGACCGCTCGGTCCATGCGGGGTCCCGGATGTGGCTCAAATTCGGTCTGTGGACCATCATTGTACTGTGCTTTTGAACTTTTCTGTTGTGGTTCAACGTGGTCCACGTGCCGCCAACCGCCGTTCATTTGGTTTCTTTGGCGTTAATTGATTACCTTCACCTTGCTTAAAGCTGGTTGTACTTGTTTGTTTCTCGACGGCTCTCGTATAAGTGGGTTTTTTCTAGCGGTGACGTCTTAGAAGGTAGAAATGTCAATCAGAGAACACGATAAAGGTACAGTCACATGGTTAGAGAGATAAATATCGACCGTTTTTGTGTGTCCGTGTTATGGCTATTGTGGAATGAGGAACTTGAAGGTTCTTTGCGGTACACGATGCGGACGGAAGAGCGTTCCACGCGCAGATGGCCTGTGCGCAAGCGTCTTTGTACGCGGTGTGGGGAATGTCCGGTATGAGGAATGTCTGCATATTCCCCGCCGCTGGCACGGGGAATATGCAGAGTTTTTCGCACTCGGTCGCGTGTTGGATGTGACAAACCGGGGTGGTAGACACGAACACCGAGGGAGCAGACACACGGACGCATTCGTTCCTCAATTCGCCCCAAATTATTGTTTACTCACAATCTTTGTAGTAGGGTTACTTGTGTCCCGCGATTTCGTTTGTCTGGCATGTCTTGCGCAGTGTGTATGCCAGTGTAGTGTCCTGTCGCATCTAAACGGGTTGCTGTTATTCCGTGCGTTTCTGTCTCTGTACTTTTGTCAGGATATGTCGTGCTATGGCGTTATGTGTGTTGTGTGTTGTGTGCTGTGGGTACGTGCGTGCGTGCGTGTGTGCAGCGTTACCACCGCCGGCCGTATTCCCGCTGTCGCCGCCGGCCCGTGTGTGCCCCAGCCGCGCGCCGCTCGTGCCTGACCGCCGCGTCTGTCTCGCCGCAGGCGCACATCACGCGAGTGGCGCTCGGTGCCGGCCGCGGCGTGGCCCAGCCCAGCACCTGCCTGATGATCTTGCTGCTGTCGCTCTCGCTCTGCGTGCTGCCCAGCCTCAAGGAAGAGGCTGCGGACGAGTCGGCGCTCAGCAAGGCAGACGCCGGCGCCAGTGAGTGATTCGCCGTCGCCATCGGCGCCGTCTGCGCTAGCTGGGGCGGTGAAACGAGTCAGCCGCGCTCTATTCTTGTGCTGTGTGCGCGCTTTGTCGGCCGGTAATTGGTTTTGCTTCCGCGTTGCGGCAGTACAAAGTCCCGTGAACGGCAATAATCATGTAACCAGACTGCTTTAGCCTTCTTGGTACCGTTGTGTTTGGCGAGATGCACGAGCCGGTTCCGCGGCGTGTCGGTGTCAGTGCTTAGGACATCGATACGGACGGCACGGCGCGGGCCGGTCTCGTCTCCGCGCCCCCCCCCCCCCCCCCGCGGCCGGCCTGGCGGCATGCCGGCGTCCGGTCGGATTGTAACCGGGTGGCTCTGCGACTGGTGCGAGGCTCCCGGGTGCCGCTCGGGTGTGGCCGCCGCGCGCCCTGACGTCGCTGATGTCCCGTTGCCGCAGGAAGCGCGCGTACGCTGCTCTCGCAGTCGACCAAGGCTGACTTCCTCAGCCTCTACCTGGGCCGGAAGCCGGCCGTCTCCCAGCTGGCCGGTTTGGACCTGGAGCTGTCGGACATCGAGGACGAGGCGCCGGTTGCGCGCCGCGCCGCCCAGCCGCCGCCGCGCAAGCGCGCCCGGCTGGCCGGCCGCTGGCAGGACGAGCTGCAGGCGGCGCCGCTGGACGACGGGCCGCCGCCCGAGCCGGACCCCTCGTCGCCGGGCACGCGCAACGGCACCCGACCGCCGGCCCGGCTGGTGCTCACCGTCGAGCGGCAGTGAGCGGCACGACGCGCCTCCATTCCGCGGCGCCTCACCGGCTGCCGCCCTGCATGCGTTACGGAAGCGATGGTTGGCGTAGTTTTACTGGAGCGGCCCGCGTGGCCGGCTGTTTGGACGGTCGCGGGAGAAGGTTGGCTTGGGTGTAGCGACGCGAGTCCCCTGTACATACGTATGGCGAGCACTCTTCTTAGCCTCTCTTGGTGCGACGGCTCGGTTGGTGCGACACGGCTTGGGCGTGGTTCGGTTTCGAGCAGTGACAGGTTCCGCCGGTACAAATCGCGGAGGTGCGCTGGTGTTTTCTACGTGGAAATGTGCAAAACCCGCATAAAAATAGCAAAAGAACCATCGGAACGAAAATCCCGGTAAATGCTCCGGCGGTGCTCCAGCAATGCTGCAACCAAATGGGAGACTATTGTATTTAAAGATATATGGTGATATTTTTGCATTTCCGTCGATGATGCGTGTGTCCGTATGTGAAAATTGTGAGCGGTCCGCTCCACTCGGGTGTCGGGTGTGCGCGTGCGCGTGGCCGGAGCTGGCGCCGGGGCTAGAAGCTTTGTCCCGGCTGCGCGGCCTGTGTGTGGCGCCCCGTCTGTCCGGCCTGACCGGGGCCCGTGTGTGAGCCTGTGTGTGGTGCACTGATCTGGACGGCCACGCACCTGTCACCCGACAAAATACACTGGAGCATGGATACCAGTGCTCTGCTCTCGGCCGCGACCGGACAAGTGGACAGCCGTTAGCCTCCGCTGGCGCGGCGTGGAAAAAAGAGCCCCCTCGCCAGTGTGACTGATCGAGTGACCCCTTACGGGCAGTGGGCTTGCACTGTAGAAGCTGTTTTCATTCCTGTCAGAAAATAGAGGAGCCTTATATCTTCAGCGATGTCCGAGTAATGCTGTGGCTCGTATCTTTGCCCTACCATCCGTCTTCTTTCTACCCGCAGGGGCCAAATATGTTCACGGAGCGTCCCGAGTGCGGCGATGAGGGGCCATTAATGTCACGGTATATATGCAGGCGGACATATGCAACGCATAAAGGCTCTCCCATGTGGAGACGAACCGTAGAGCTTGACCATTACCTTAACGCCACGATGTGCTGGTGGAAGGCACATGTGCCGGTGGGTAGGCCGCAGTTTTTCACGTTTGATGGACGGGACTTGCTGCGACAGCAATAACTATTTTGAGGATACATTGCTCCTGTCAGTATCTAGTCAAGCACGGCACTGTCTGGTTGACCCGGAAACGACAGAACAGCGGTGTCTGGCTGACTGACGACGGCAGCAGTGACGTCTGGTTGACCTTGATAGCAACGGTAACAGGGGTGTTTGGTTGACCTTGACAACGGCGGCAGCGGCAGCGTCTGTTGACTGATAACGATGGCAACAGCGGCATCGGGTTTACCTCGGTAACGTCACTGCAGTTCTCTGAGATGACCCAGAGGAATACATTGCCTCACTTTGGTTGGTGTAATATTGTTTGCCTCCGTCATCTCACCTGCCCACAGCGGTGTCTGCCGTCTGTGGTCAACGATATACCGCTCCTGCACGCTGATTGACGCATCAGTTGTAACACGGGTGTCGATTTGTATTGTTCTGGGTGGCCCACTGACCTAGCCAAAGTATGATTCGCCCCCCCCCCCCCTAACGGCGTTTATACATCTTTCACATATTAGTGTTAGCCGCGGGGCCAACACCGCGCGCCCGGAGACTACAACGCTTGACACCGTGGTTTTTGTTGCAAGATTTGCGAGCGCGCATGCTCAGAATTCCGTTGCGTAATTTGCATAGCCATTCATTTCTGACTGAATGCTGCATATTTCCAAATGAGCATGGATTAGCCGTGTTAATACGCATTGATGACACCTTGCGATCTAAATTCGCGGGGCCTTTAATGTGTTTGTACAGCCCAAATAAAGATTCTGATAAGCGTCTGAGTTCTATCGGCTCAGAAAGAGTCCACGGGAGACTGGACCAATGTTAAATCAAGAGCACCGGTAATTTATTTCATGCGGTCGTTTAACGCACCATTTCTACAATTAATTGCCCGTAAAATAAGGCGAAATTTATCTCGCGGTAGCTTCCGGCCTCTGTTTCAGCTATAGAAGGTTAAAAGGAAAAATATTAAGGAAAACTTGCCCTCATTAACATATTGGCCATATCCGGTGATTTCTTTAGGGGGCCCATTTACCATCAGGAGGCCCTTTGTCAACCTTGTGTTCCATCCTTGTCAAGGATCACCCTGGGTATCACCGCCAGGGCCGATGGACACCAACATGGGACATCACCTCAGGCATTACCCCGTGATATCGCCAGGGCCAATGCAGTGCGGGCGTGCCTTGCTGGGATGCGGGTCGCTTAGCGGAGGGACCAGACCAAACAGAGCGGTGTCGCCTCTGGCTGACGGACGGACACGGACGCCGCCAGCCGGCTGGTCCGCCCTGCTGATGTGGGCTGACTGTCAGTCCGCACAGCTGCTGCTGGCGGCGCTCCGTCAGCAGGCGCCTGCTGCGGCGCCCGCTATCTGTGCTGACGTCGTCACCCGGACACTCGCACATGTCCCGCCTGAGCACAGCTGGGTCGTGCCTTGGGTGACACGCTCGCCTGCGGATTGCTTCAAACGACCAGCTACCGAAATAACCGCGTCAGGCTGGCCTTGCCGTGCGCCAGACGGAGCCATCTGGCGATGACCTTACAGGACCTGGCTTAAACGCAACCTGGGTTGTAACGTCGTCGTGCACGTTTTTGTGTGGCACCACCTCTGCGAGCTCTGCGAACCTCGGTGTAATGGCATCTGTCTTGACCTTAGTTCAGGAAAGCTAGCCGGATAAGTCGTCCACCGAACGTTCTAGTTCGACACGTCGGTCACTTCAGTGCACTGAAAGCACGGAGGTCAGGCGCATGTCGGGACTTTCACTGTTTCGGGAGCTCAGTGACAGTCCGGGAGACCTCCGGCCCCGAGCCACCCTGCGGTTTCCTGATCGTTCTGAAGACCACTTGATAGTTTCAGGGGCCCCTGGCTGTTCTGCGCCTTCGGCCATCTCCAGAACCTTAATGTCATGAGCAGTTGGCTGCCAACCCTCAGTCGCATAAGCCGGCTTAGACCCTCTTGTAACCTGTTCATCTTGGGGTCTCACTGGCTCAAGGAGCTAATACCAACTCTCCCGCCCCCGTTGATATTAAAGCTCTGTTCATTCCAGAGACCTGTCAGCCGATGGCGTGTCGCTTTTCCAAGACGCCGATAGACCCCCATTCTTTGTATTATATTTCCTGTGCGCAAGTGCAATGACAAATTAGCCCCCCAGAGAGCATCACTAGAGGCGCGACTGACTGTGGAGACGAGAACAGATGGGGCGAGGAAGTTGTATGTTGACAAATTTTCTGGCGAAATCGATCTTCGGGTCAGAAGGGGGATTAGGGACTTATCAATAAGGGCCAGCTGGTGAGGTGGTGCCACGCTGACCCGACCCAGTCGGGGTCAGATTCAGGGTTGTCAGGGTTGATTCAGTCGGTGGTGTTGTCGGCCTCGTTCGCTCACTACTAACACCTCGTCAGCCTACCCTTTTGATGTGCAGTTGGGCTAAGCTGATTTTTCCGAGATCTCCAGAGTTCCCATTTCGGCTCGACTCTGCCTTCAGGCCTTCAGGTCATCAAATTTCTGCGCTTTCACTTTGTTTGGACGTGGACGTCCATTGCGTCTACGCGTCCGCAAAACGCCTTGCATCCAGGAAACATTCCGTCGGCTTAGTTTGGTTGGTTGTGTCAAAGAAAACCGTTTTGTACCGGAGTATTTTGTAACGTACTCGGATGATTAAAGGCCATGTACTTAAAGCGGGTATGTAAGTACCGCTTTTTCACTTAACTCCTCGCCGATGTCCAGCGTGCGCACCCATCTTACACAGCATCAGTTTTAGTTCTGACCAGCATGACTTCATGTAAAATCACTCGAATTCCACGGCGCTTTATCGATCTCTGATGAGGCGTGACGAGGCGTGGACCGATCCGAAGCAACACTTCTGACCTTGATCGACTTAGCTGTTCCTTTGACGCAGTGACTTACTCGATATTGCTAGCAAAGCTGCGACAGCTCCAAATGTCTACAGGCTGGATCCAAACGTACCTGGAGAGGTACACGCAGCGTGTGAGGGTGTCGGAACAGAAAAGCATCACCATTGACACACTCCAAGGGTCTTGTCTCAGTCCATTACTGTACAACATCTTTAGCAACGACATCGCGTGCCTCATCCCACCATGTATGTAAGGGTTCCGTGTAACGACAGTCCGGTGCGCTGACACCGCCCAGCTGGCCATCACAGGACCTCGGGCCGGATTAGCGGAGGTGGAATAGGCACTGAAGTCAGTGCTGGACGTAGCTTGCATGTGGTTTTGCAGCGTGGGATGCTGGTAAATGCCGCCACAACCGAGATGTGATTGTGGGTGGACCGTCAGCAGCTCAACCAAATCGGAGAACTTCCGTCCATAGTGTCCATGAAACAGGGGTTACAGCATTCAGAAACTGTGCGAAATTTCGAAAAGTGATCTACCCATCTCTGTCATACAGCTGTCACATAAAGTTGCATAGAGGTAAAGCAGTGCAACGAAAAAGTGTCCCATCACTCAAGGTCTATCCAGTGCGTCAAGACGCCATTTGAAAGCTCGGATTGGACGCACAATTCGACAAACCTGACTTTTTCTCCGCAGGCGTGCGTCGTGTGCAATGTGTGGGTGGAGTGGGAGGGAGGGTGGCCTAGTGTTTTAGTCACATATGACCTATACTGCGACCACACAAATTGAAGAGGGTCTGAGAATGGGCCATTTGTTGTGGATTGAACCGATTATGTGCAATACCCTGCCGCGAACTTATGGGCTTGGCGTGGACCCAGATGGGATGCAGCAGGCAGCAGTCCTGTGCTCGACTCCAGATGAAATCAGAGTCGTCTTCGGAATCTCACCAAATTACACTCTAGGCGGAACCAAGAGTCGAGTCTTAACCCTGGGCCGGCACTGGCTGAGGTCAGTAGCGAGTCGGCTCGAATACGGAAGAACGACACCATCGTCGTCCTTATTCTGACAGATCCTAATGTACATGAGATCGAGTACAACAATATGTACTGTCTTCTTATCAACCAGACTTGCGTGCTGCACACAGGCTTTCACGCATCACATAGAGTGTTTCGTCGAGGCAACTCGCGCCATCTTGATCGACTCTGTCAGTACCGGTCACGGAACTCCACATCTATTGTAGCCGGAATGGTAGACAAGCTCACATTGAGCTGTGTCCCCGCCGAGTCAGGTTTGTAATCAGCCCCATCCGCCGCGTGTCGCGGTCGAAGTCGAATTCGCAGGTGGGAAGTCACGGGCGCTTGCGGACTTGCGTTGCTAAGCGGCGGAGTACCGACAAATGATTTGTGCTTGCATGATTTCGGGGTGCATTTTGCACTATTAATGGGATTCCCTGGTCGACCTGACCTCTGACTGCCGGGATGCCGGACGGGAACCGGGCGTGATGTGCTGACTGCCAGGGACGTAGTTGGGTCGTGGAAGCAGACTTTATCAGCAAGCCAGTGTTTCGTGCAGTATCACGGGTTAAATTGCTTGCAACATTGGGGCGGGAATCGGTGGATGATAGTCCATCTCTCCCTTACCCTTTTTATATGGGTTTGCGCGTTGGGAGGAGGCTGTTCCAAATGCCTGAAGAGCC